GATGTTCAGAATACCATAGACTAAAGATTTGAGCCACGATGAAGTTTTTGAGAAATGTGACACTTATACTTAACATTAGAAAGAGACAGTTCTGTGGCACATAATGAGGAAAGAAGGATTAGAAAAATTAACACTCACAGGACATATTGAAGGCAAGAGGGGAAGAGGAAAATAGCGCATAACCTACCTAAAGAAGAAGAAGAAGAAGAAGAAGAAGAAGAAGCTTGTATTGTTTCTGCGAAACCATTTCACAAGCGCTAATGATATGGGTGTCACTTTCCACCTAACGGCAATTATTCTTATTATAATATATATACATTTTTTAAACTTTTCACCCCAAGCAAGGCGGGAGTGTCACTAGCACATAAGGGGTTACAGAGTATTTAAGCAAGAATGAAGAGGCGTGAAAGAGGAAAGGATGAAGAGTGGGACGGGGAATAGATCAAGTCATCCTGAGATGTCGACTGACACTGAATTTGAATAGTTGGAAATTATAGCTATCAGAGAAGCAAGTAAGAGGAAGGGAGTTCCACAGACGGGAAGTGCGAGACATGAAGCTATTTGGAGTAGAAGAGACGAATACATTTCACCGTTTCAACAGTGAAAGGGTGGGACTGAGCTACCAACCTAGTGGCACATTTAAATTCATGCAGTTTGAGAACTAGCGAAAATAGCTCGTCGGAGTAGTTACCGTGAAAGTATTTGTAGAAAAGAAAGAGGGAGGCGACGGCATGTCTGTGAGAGAGTGACTGTAAACGAGATGTCAGATCAGGGACAACCACATTGCATATTCGTCTCTGGATTTTGTCGAGGACCCTAAGACGAACAGCGGGGACTCCTGACCATATATGACAGCAATATTTCATGCAAGGGCGAATGGTTGATTTATAGATTTGAAGGATGGACTCGGGCGAGAAAAACTTCCTGGCGCGACACAGAGAACCAACTTTCCTTGCGGTAACATGAAGCTATTGATTCAATATAATTGTTCCATCTCCGGTCAGCAGACAATGTGAGACCAAGCAGTCGCAAAGTGGTGCTTTCATGGAGTTGAGCATCAGACATTCTAATGGGAGGCAGAGAGGGTTCTCTCTAGTGGGTAATAGAGAGCAGTTATGTTTTTGAGGCATTAAAGTTAACCAGCCATTTCCTGCCCCAGTCAACAACTAATTGGAGGTCCTTTTTGAGACCAACGGCCAGGTGGACTCTTGATTGGGCCTTCATCGCAATAGGTAGGGAGGAGTAGATGCGACAAGCAACAATAAATTACAGAAGAACTCAAATATGATCGCTGCATTTAACTATTGTATTAATATTTAAGCTTACCTTTTAAAAGTTCAATGATAATTCTTCTTCCGCCACGTAATTTAAAGACAATTTGATATGTTAGTCTACGGCCTCTCGGAGTAAAGTTAAAAACACGCACAATTTTATTTTGAAACACTGTAATTTGTTTTTTTGATTTGAACATGAGCTATTGAAAGTTATAGAGAGTTGTGTTTCGTTAATTGTTTTTATCAGTAGAAGCAAAGATAGCGGAATCCGGAAACAATCAAAGTAATGAAAACTTCGGAATCCAAAATTTCAGGATTTAGGGTCGGGATCCAGCCTGGAATGTTTGTAATTTGCTCACGAAGTTAGCCTGATTCCAGAATAGCATGATACTTTGGGCTCCGGTCTCCAGGGGTAAAGTTGAAAAACTGTGACACAGTGAAACACTGATATTCAAATATATTATATAGATTACTAGTGTACCTGTGCCGTGAAAATTGAGGGCAAGAAGGAATGTATTGTAAGTAATTTTCGTTTAATCAAAGTACAATTTTGTAATTTAAAATAGTTCGTTGTTAATGTTAATAATTTAACGTTCACAATTTGTAAACACCTCAGGAAAGATATCCGTATATTATCCTCATAAATGTTATTTATTTACAATGAAAATTATGTTTACTGCAAAAGTTCCCAAAGCACAATATTTTTTGTGTAAATTTTAGTAGGTCTGAATAATCCTTGACAGTCTGTAGATTCAGTCTGTAATTTCAGAGTCTGCTTATTTCTCGTCCTAATGAGAGCAACGTATCATCAGATATATATTTTTTTTTAATTTTCTCAAGCTATTACCAAATTCCACAAGATATGTTCTGAATTATAACATACAATAATAATTAGCGACAATATATATATATATATATATATATATATATATATATATAGACACGGTATCATCCGGCCGACCGTTTTGCAAAATAATTATCATTGCATGATTTGTATTTGCGAAGATATTTTAAAATTAAAAATACGTAATAATTGCATTAGAATCCGTTTTTAGCCATACTGCTTTTCAAAATTCTCAAAATGAAAAAGTAAAAAAGAACGGGAAAGAACGAAAGAATAATTATTCTCGTTCGTTTTTACTTTTTATTTCTGCAGATAATTTCAAAACGCTTTATGTATTTTTAAAATTTGTATTCTTTTGGATTTATTTCCATATTTTTTGTGT